AATATTTGTCTTCTTGTATGTGTCTATGTGTAAGTGTATATAGGTGCACTCATACACAATAAGGTACATATGCAGACCAGAGGTCGATGTTCCTTTCTCAAACTCTCTCCATCTTTTTTTTTTTTTTGAGATGGGTTCTATGTTTGAACCTGCAGCTTCCTGATTGATAGATTGGCTAGCCAACAAGCCCCAGGAATCCACCCACTCATTCTCAAAGTGCTGGAATCCTAAGCATGTACTTTTGTGCCTGGCCTTTACATGGAAGCTGGGATTTTGACCTCAGGTCCTCCTGTTTGCTCTACAGGCACGTTACCCATGGTGCCATCTTACCAACCCTCTTTTGTTTGTTTTATTCAATTAAACTTCTTGCAATATTCTGAGAAGTCATTTGTGGCAAAATAAGCAGATGTCGTTGTGAGTTAATAATATTGTGTACAGCAGGATGAATACATTTAATAATATTGCATTGTGTATCTCAAAATAGAATATGAGGGTACTCCTCATAAAAATGATAAAAGTTTAAAGTAATGGTCATACTAGTTCCTAGGAGCTGATTTAATATACTAATTAAAGCATCCCATTGTACCCCATAAGTATAAATATGATGTATAAATTTGATATGTCAATCTAATGGTGACATTTAACAGAGACTATCTAGTAAATATTGCCTTACATTGGATGTGGACTTCAACCTCACCTTCAGAATTAAACTGGTCTTTCGAAACAGGGACAACTAGGGTTGACTTGAAAGGAGCCTGGAGATAAGATCTGGCTATGTCATCTGGTGTTGATTGACCCTTTTGGCCTTATTTGGTGAAGATCTAAAGATATTAGTAATTTTGCATCATTCCTGAGGTTCCCATCATCAGAATACGTTTCCTGATCCAACTGTTGTATCCATGAGAAAGTGCAGTTGGAATTCACGTTCAATAGGTAATATTAGAGAACTTTGCTTTTTGATGTAAATAGTTTTCTCTGATATTAGCTATATCAAATAGCAAATACCCTGAGTGATTGCTACAGAAATGGTTTTATCTCTAAATTAGTAATTATCCTTTTTTTAATTTGAAGCTTGCCCATCTGTTCATGTTATGCATAGGGGAAACTAGTGATCCTCAAGGTAATACATCATTTATATATTAAACTGTATTATTTAGCAAATGCTTTTTTTCTTTGGAAATAGAGCATTTAATTTTGAAAACGTAATTGGGGCTATTTTCCAGTGATTGCCTATTAGAGGAGGGTATTTGCAGGTAAAAACGTCCAGCCTTCATTCAACATTTCTAAAGTGCCTGCTAAGCACTCGGCTGTATAGAATACAAACAAAACAGAACTTGCCTAATAAGGGGCAAAGCAAGAATTTGACCCCAGGTCTTTTGACCATCAGACATTGCTATAAAACAATGCACCCTACCTTCTTTGACATGAAACAAAACTACTAAAATAATAGCATCATTTGTTCTCTTTCACTGAGATTGAGTAAGCTCTACCAATTCTCTGCATGGTTAATATGGATATCAAAGAAATACACAGTATGCTTTATGTAAAGTCAAAAGATAAATTTAAACTGAAAACCTGGGGCAAGAAAAAAAAACTTTAAAAATACTTTTTGAAATAATGTCTTTCCAGTCATGGCAGCCAGTATTTACAAGCTACACACAGAAGATACACTTTTCTGCTTTTCAACAAAAATTGAAAATAATATCTAAGGTTCATGTATCCCTTTTGAAATTACTCACACATAACCTAGAATAAAGTTTTCATAAATGATATCTGAAGCATTCTACTTGTTGGAGTAGACACAGATTCAGATGTCAAAGCTGCCTATTTTAAATATCTTTATTTCTTTACAATAAAAAAAACAGTGAATAACGTATAAAATCAGCTAAGAAGCCTTAATGTGTCTATTTTAACATTTTCTCATAAATTTCTAAAGCTTTTTGTTTCTAAAAAGCCTATTGTTCCTCTGTGGTTTGCATTCCTTTTTTCAGTCACAGTTAATGAATTTTGTTCATATGCAGTGAATTTATTGAAATGAATTTCAGGGGATTTGTAGTTGCACAAATGCCCCTCCCAGCATTTTTTTTCTTTGAGCTCTTGCAGTTAACGCATTACATTCATAGGCCAATTATAGCACAAAGTGGTAGCAGAATAATGGTAAATTTGTGAGGAAAATGGAACATAAAAATGAAAGCATAGGATTTTTTTTTCAGGAACCTTCAAGAGCCTGAAAAGCAAATCTATTAAAGCTTCATTGAAAAAGGTACTTCACCTTATAGAGTAGTTAATTGACCTAGTTAATGAGGTGGAAAATAGACTATGTTGGGTTAGAGGTATTTAATGAAGCAACCCTAGAAATTCTCTACATGAGAAAAAAAATCCTTGGCAACCAACCCTTTGTCAAATTGTCCTTCATTGTGTACTTATTTATCTTACTTGTACCTAATGGATGGAAGCTGTATTTAAAACAGTTGTTAAACTATGTTGTTGATAGAAAGGGTATGTGTTCTTATTCCTTTAGCTGACTTGTGTTTGTAATAATACTTATATAACTGTGGAAGTTCAGTCCTAGAGCTTTTACACTTTGTTGATATTTTGAGTATGCTAAAAAGGATAAGTGTGTCCTCATTTAAACAACTGTGTTATTATTATGCTTAAATTTTGGTGATGGTTATATAAATAGTCATAGTATCTTAAATTTTCATTAACATTTCATTTTATATGTGTGTTAATATTTTTTCTATATGTATATATGTACACTATGTGCTGGCCTAGTGCCCATGGAAGCCAGAAGAAGGCATAGGGTCACTTGGATCTGGAGTTACAGAAGGTTGGAGCTGCCATGTGGGGGCTGGGAATTGAACCGAGGTCCTCTGGAAGAGCAGCCAGTGTTTCTAAGCTCTGAGCTATCTCTCAAGATCCTAAACAGTCATACTATCTTTAAGAAATTGAAGATCTAACCGAGTTTAATAGTTAATTTTTGATTATGAAATTAATTATAAAGTTATAGGGAAAAACACAAGTCACCACCCATGCTATAAAAGAGAACTGAATACCTTACCTAATAGAGAGAACTTAATTTATAAGACTTAAAAGGTTCAAAAATCCAAAAAGGGAATTGGATCAATGTAATGTTTGTTATGGGAAAAGAATTTTCAGATGTTTCTATTTTAGAGAATATGATACCAATTATAATTTCAGAACAAGTAAAGCTCCTTTGTCAATTTGTACTGAAGAGTAGTTAGTTCTCTCTCTCTCTCAGTCTGTCCACTGTGAATCTGTTGGCATATGGATGACATCCACAAACCAAAAATTTCTAGCAGAGGTGACATAATAAATATTATCAACTTAAGATGATTGTGCACAAATGATTGGAAGTTCTGATGAAATTTTATACACTGGGGAGTGAAAAAAAAAGAGGAGTAGGGAAAGGCACAAAGAGAAGGAAAGAGGAGGAGAAAAAGGAATCTAAGGGGAGGGAGAGAAAGAAGATGCAGAGAGGAAAGATGAGAAGAAAGGAGAGAAAGGAAGAGAGATGTGGGGGAGAGAGAGGAGATAGAGAATAGGGGAGGTAAGGAAAGGAAAGAAGTGGAGAAAAGAGAGGAAGAGATATAGGAGGGGGAAGAAGGGAGTGAGAGAGAGGAGAGGGTTGGAGGTGGGGAGAGAGAGGGAGAGAAAGAGAGAGTTAGATTCTGCTTTTAAATATTGAAAGTTGATCAATCTAGCCATCAGAATAGGTCACAAAGCAATGAGTTTTGCCCTAAATTGAGCCAATACATTGATTACAAAAGGTATTTAGAATAATGTAAGTTGCTTGGCACTCCTGAGGAGCCATTTTAGGCTCTTAAAGGGGTGACTTTTCACTATCCCCCAAACTTTAAAAAATGTGTGTTTTCTCCTGATAGATACAATCCAGATTTCTTCATGATTCCAAAAGTTACCTTTTCAAATTACTTATCTTTAATTTGAGGCGAAGCAATATTCACAAATAAGAAGTCTCCTAAGACCACATTAAAAACTTGCAAAGGAAATGATGTCGCCAAATTATGACATGTAAATGTTCTTTTACTAAAGGGCTATGTCACAAGACCCTCGTTTCAAGACTTGCCTCAACCCAGAGAGGTTCTGTCTTGAGCATCTTCTTTATATCTTGAAAGTAATCACATTTTCCTTTCTGTTTCCCACTTAAATGTTTATTTAGTTGTTTAGTGTCATCTATAGATGAAGTATTCCAATCAGGAAAGAAATCAAAGTTTAAAATTTGGTTTTTAAATTTTATGTTAGGGTTGGAGAGATGGCTCAGAGGTTAAGAGCATTGCCTGTTCTTCCAAAGGTCCTGAGTTCAATTCCCAGCAACTACATGGTGGCTCACAGCCATCTGTAATGGGGTCTGGTGCCCTCTTCTGGCCTGCAGGCATACACATAGACAGAATATTGTATACATAATAAATAAATAAATATTTAAAAAAATTATGTTAGATTTGAGCTGCTTGGTTTAGTGTCCAAGACAACTATTGGACATTTCTGTGTTTCTAACATAATTAATGGGAACCAATTAGTTTTTACAGCTATTTTTACAATATATAATCTTACTTATAACTAATGTCATAAATTGGAAATCAGTTGTTTGAACTGAATGTAAGTAGATCAAATAAACAATGACTTATTTAACAAATCCTTATTTATGTTGTTTAATTAGCTATCTTTATTTGTCTTCACATGAACGAAGAATACACAATCAAGCCGAAACCACCAACTCCACACTTGTTTCTGTCATTTATGAAGATCAATAATGACTATAAATGATGTTTTTATGTAATTCTGCTTAAGTCAGACATTCCTAGAAAGGAAAATTAAGATGGATTTTCTCAGAAGTGTCTTGTCATGTTTTGCCATTTAAAAACATGATTTATGACTACATTTAATTAATCTGTAAGTTTCTGTTTATTTGTTTGTTTTAGAAGTATCAATTAATGTGACAGTCAATCCTTTTAGACTCAATGGAACATCAACTTGCACCTTTTCTTTCTGAAATACCTCCGGCAGTGCCAATTATCAATGGAGATCCCATGTACCCTGTAAGAGAAGTTTTTCTTCTTTTTATTTGCACTATAACTGGTTTAAATGTTATGAAATCTGACATTGGTTTTCATTCAGATTATTTGTAACTTTTATGGTCACTTACTTGGGAAGGGTTTTATTGTTGCTTTGTTTTTGTTTTTTCAGGGTTGGTTATTTTCCTTGTGGGTCTTTTGAAAATCACTTAAGACATTCAATACTAACTTACCCTACATAAAATTTTCTTTTGAATTAATTTAGCTGCTTTTTATACTCTTTTCCACAACTTAAAAGGCCTAGTCCTATATAGTAAAGTTTCTACTACCTATAGTTTCATAGGGTGTATCGTTTGAAATTGCGAGTCTATTAAAGACTAATGTTCCTTCATACTCATTCAGTTAGGAGTTCAGTTATCTAATAATTAGAAGTATTTTATTTGAGTAGCAATAACTTCTATGAGTAAGACTGGTTTCTAGAAATTAAAAAGTATAATTCAGATTTAGAATTTGCCCCTTTAGTAGATTCAATAGATGGCCTAACCTAGCATATAATGTAAAAAGATGATGGATGTTTTGTCTCTTGCATTAAAATAAAAGCAAACATGGTTATTTAGTATAACATCATGGACAGAAATGAGTGAGATATATGCATACATGAAAATGTCAAAATTATGTTCATTTTTATTATTAGTGTATAATAAAAAGTTTTATTTCTAAAAATGAAAAATTGTAATTGTAATCAAAATTACATTTTTTAGATGGAGAATTACATTCTGGACCCCAACGCCATGGCAGCATATCCTAATTATTCACACACCATGAATCAACCCAAGATATATAATACCTGGCCTTCTTGTCCCCAATACTGGACTCAAGTATGTCTGAATTTTACCTTCAGATAAATATTATTTTCTGGGATTTTGTTTGTTTGTAGAGTTTTTGTTCTGGGGGTAGATGCAGAAGAGAATAATGTCTTTCCACCTCAATGCACCTGATTTCTATGACCTTATTAAGCTTTACTTTGGTGGAGGAGTAACCTGTTCTTACTAAGGGGTATTGAATTTCTCCTAAGTGCCCATTAGTCCAATTGTATTCTTCTCCTTGAGCATTTTGAAATTCCCATAATTAGGGAGCCTGAATATTATTCAAAACATAATAATGTCTTTTTCCATGGATTTAAAAAAGTGTGTCATTAAATAATTATCTATTTCTAGATTGTAATCGTTCAAGTTAATCCTGGAGAGGTCCTTACGATAAAAGCTGATGATGGGTCCTTTCAGCACATTCAAGGTTTGTTAAAGTAGAATTAGATGTGTGTTTATCTTATAATCAGATCGAATGAACCTAAATATTACTGTAAAATCTCTAACAGTTCATTATTATGTCTTATCACTTGCAAGACAGAATACTATTAAAATATTCCTCATAGGAGTTTAGCATCAACAGCATGAAAGATAATCTTGCTAATCTGTAGTGATACTTTGTTTGTAATCTAACAAAGTTTACCTGAAGATTCGAGTTCAGAGCTAAGCCACAGTTAGCCATAGAGACCAGGCAGTGGTGGCATATACATTTAGTTCCCAGTACTTGGCAGATTGATCTCTGTGAGTTCAAGACCACCCTGGGATACACGAGATTCAGTCTGTGTAAAAGAGAAACAGAGCGCACACGAAGGTGATACCAGATTTTGGGATCCCACGCCTTTAATCCCAGCACTAGGGAGATGTAGACAGGAGTCTCCAACTGAGCAGAGAAAGAAATAAAAGGCAGGAGGAAACAGGAGCTCAGATGCAATCTGAGGATGCAGTCTGAGGATGCAGTCTGAGGTTTTATAGAGCAAGCATTCAGTCTTGAGTATTCGTGAAGAAAGGAATGCCCTTTCGATCTGAGGTTGAGGTTAAAGCTAGTGCCTGGCTGTTCTGCTTCTCTGATCGTTAGGCAAGCTTTATATGTTAGATTACAAACAAAATATCACTACACTAATCTTTGTAGAAGTCTTTGGAAGTAATTTTTAAAACATGAAAGCAAGTTAGTTGAGGAATTCTATTAGCAGAATTCCAGACATTGTAGATAGCGATTGTTATTTATAGTTTTACTTTTGACTTCAGTATGGGAATTTAGTCAATTTACAATGTGATAAGTGCTAATGCTTAAATGTAATAGTGAAATCATTGAAGCAGTTTATGTACTACAGGCTAATACAGAGAACTATTTATGTCCATTAAGATGTTTGGCATATTTGTCAGACTGGAGAATATCAAAAGGCAGTGAAAATATCTGCATATACTTTTAATGTTTGCATCAGAATGTAAGGCCACAGAAGACAAGGCTACTTTTTACAGAATTATGTCAATAATATGTCAGAAAAATTAAAGAACATCTTAATTATAGTGGCATATATTCTTATCAAAGTTAAATACAGGTTTATTGAATTTATATGGCTAAGTATAACTCATGAGCAGAATGAAACATAAATTCCTCTTATTGGTCTTTCCCCTCTTTTAAAAAGATGAAAACATATATATTTTTTACTTCATGTATGTACATAATGTATTGTGATCATACCTCAATGGCCTTCTTTTGCTCCTCTCCAACTGATGCACCTTTCCCATCTATTCTCTCCTCTGTTTCCATGGATGAAGCTGCTTAGTTTTGGTCATCAATTGAGTTTAATTAGGGTTTCTTGCATGAGCATGGACAGAGTTTTCTATGGGGCTGCGGACAACTTAGAAATGGCTACACCACTGTAAAAATATCTCTGCCTTTTCCAACCATGATTAACTGCCAAGAATTTCTCACAGAATGTGGGGCCTTGTGACCCCCTCCCCTATAGGAACCGTTAACTGCCTGGAAATTTTCAAAGACACACACACACACACACACACACACACATATATATATATATCCTAATTTTTAAAAAATCATGTTGTTGAAAGGTAACATCTCTTGTTAACCACCAATATGTACAGACTATAGTAACAAAAATAGATATACTTTTACAAATATGTATCATATATGTATGAGTACTTAATTGATCAGTTTTAGACTGTTCTACAGATGGAACCTTCAGAAAGCTCATTCTTTCACATTTCCAACAAATATTTTTTTAATGCCTAGCATATACCATCATTGCACTTGGTACCTAGTAACAATAATGTCCAGGAGAGAGACCACACATATAAAGTATTGCATATAGTAATCTTATTTGAGTGTATTTTAATTATACATAAGCATTTTATTATGTATGAAAACAGAAATTACCTCAATTTCAAATGGTCAATAATAATAAAGTATATTGATTTATAGTCATAGGCGTAATATTAACTATTTTAAATTAAGATGGATTTTTGTTTTATGCTAATTATTTTATATTCTAAAGTGATTTTGACCTACTGCTTTGTTGGGAATGACAGTAAAAATCCAGAGGCCCAGCAAATGTTCTTACCAGGTCATAATAGATGCAGAAAAGATTGATTAAATTGGCAGAAATAGACATATAGTGGGCAGTTTGTGAGAGAGAAAATCTACCCCTGAAAGGGAATAGGATTCTTTTATACAGTGAAGCAAAGTTACTTAGTCTTACCTCATTTTTGTGGGTCTATATTTGGATACATAAGCAAGCATCTCATTCCCTTGTTAAGTAGTAAATTGTATAGCATCAGTTGTTGAGGGAGTTGACCACTTAGAATAAGGCATCATGGAGCCTTAAGAGTTATAAGACTTCTTAGCCTGGTGGTGGTTGCACACACCTTTAGTCCCAGCATTTGGTAGGCAGAGGCAGGTGGATCTCTGTGAGTTTGATGCCAGCCTGGTCTACAGAGTGAGTTCAGGGACAGCCAGGGCTACACAAAGAAAACCTGTCTTTAAAGAAAAGAATTAGTAGACTTTAAAACAGGATGTAGTGATATGCCTTTAATTTCTGTACTCTGGAGGCAGAAGCAGGAGGATCTCTGTGAGTTCAAGACTAGCCTCCTCTACATAGAGAGTTCCAGGACACCAAGGGCTAAATAGAAAGACCCTGTAACATGAGCAACTGCTTGTATATAAGGCACTGTGGTCAGGTTCTTACTAGTGAGGAGCTGATAGTTAAAATGTGGGGGGTTGCTTTTATTTTTAGCTCTTTTATCTCTAAATTTGCTCCCTGATAGAGCAGCAGGGTCAAGTCATTGACAAGGGGTAAAGATCACCTTCTGGAGCTTCTTCAGAACTCAGAAGGGTTAGCAAAGAGGGACATTTTTGATGTTGCTGATATGACATAGTATTATTTTTCTGATTTTTTTTATTGAGAAAAGGAGAAAAAAAAACAAGATTCCACCTCCTCCCAGCCTCCCATTTCCCTCCCCCTCCTAATACCCTTCTCCCCCTCCTCCCACCCTTCTCCCCCTACCCCCACTCCTCTCCCCCTCCCTCTCCAGTCCAAAGAGCAGTCTGGGTTCCCTGCCCTGTGGTAAGTCCTAGGTCCTCCCCCCTCCGTCCATATCTAGGAAGGTGAACATCCAAAATGGCTAGGCTCCCAAAAAGCCAGCACATTAAGTAGGATCAAAACCCCGTGCCATTGTACTTGGCGTCTCATCAGCCCTCATTGTTCGCCATGTTCAGAGAGTCCAGTTTTATCCCATGCTTTTTCGGTCACAGTCCAGCTGGCCTTGGTGAGCTCCCAGTAGATCAGCTCCACTGTCTCAGTGGGTGGGTGCACCCCTCGTGGTCCCGACTTCTTTGCTCATGTTCTCCCTCCTTCTGCTCCTCATTGGGACCTTGGGAGCTCAGTCCAGTGCTCCAGTGTGGGTCTCTGTCTCTATCTCCATCCATCACCAGATGAAGGTTCTATGATGATATGCAAGATATTCGTCAGTATTGCTATAGGATAGGGTCATTTCAGGTTCCCTATCCTCAGCTGCCCAAGGAACTAACTGGGAACCTCAGCTTGGGCACCTGGGAGCCCCTCTAGGGTCAAGTCTCTTGCCCACCCTAAAGTGGCTCCCTTAACTAAGAATTGTGGTTCCGTGCTCCCCTATCCACCCTTCCTTTATCCCAATCCTCCTATTTCCCCAAGTCCCCCCTCCTTCCCTTCTACTTTTTCTCTCCCCATCTCCCCTTACCCCCATCCCACCCCACCCCCAAGATCCCAATTTTCTCCCCGGCAATTTTGTCTACTTCCCTTAGCCAAGAGGACAACTATATGTTTTTCCTTGGGTTCACCTTCTTACTTAGCTTCTTTAGGTTCACCTATTGTAGACTCCGTGACCCTTATTTATGGCAAGAAACCAATTATGAGTGAGTACATCCCATGTTCATCTTTTGGGTCTGGGATACCTCACTCAGGATAGTGTTTTCTATTTCCATCCATTTGCATGCAAAATTCGAGAAGTCATTGTTTTTTACCGCAGCGTAGTACTCTAATGTGTATATATTCCATACTTTCTTCATCCATTCTTCCATTGAAGGGCGTCTAGGTTGTTTCCAGGTTCTGGCTATTACAAATAATACTGCTATGAACATAGTTGAACAAATGCTTTTTTCATATGATAGAGCATCTCTTGGGTATATTCCCAGGAGTGGTATTGCTGGGTCCAGGGGTAGGTTGATTCCGAATTTCCTGAGAAACCGAAACACTGACTTCCACAGTGGTTGCACAAGATTGCATTCCCACCAGCAATGGATGAGGGTACCCCTTCCTCCACAGCCTCTCCAGCAAAGGCTATCCTTGGTGTTTTTGACTTTAGCCATTCTGACAGGTGTAAGATGATATCTCAAAGTTGTTTTGATTTGCATTTCCCTGATTGCTAAGGAAGTTGAGCACGACCTTAAGTGTCTTTTGGCCATTTGAACTTCTTCTGTTGAGAATTCTCTGTACAGTTCAGTGCCCCATTTTTTAAATGGGTTAATTAGCATTTTACAGTCTAGTTTCTTGAGTTCTCTATATATTTTGGAGATCAGACCTTTGTCTGTTGCGGGGTTGGTGAAGATCTTCTCCCAGTCAGTAGGTTGCCTGCGTGTCTTAGTGACAGTGTCCTTTGATTTACAGAAGCTTCTCAGTTTTAGTAGGTCCCATTTATTCAATGTTGCCCTTAATGTCTGTGCTTCTGGGGTTATACATAGGAAGCGATCTCCTGTGCCCATCTCCTGTAGGGTATTTCCCACTTTTTCTTCTATCAGGTTCAGTGTGTTCGGGCTGATATTGAGGTCTTTAATCCATTTGGACTTGAGTTTTGTGCATGGTGATAGATATGGGTCTATTTTCATTCTTCTACAGGTTGACATCCAGTTGTGCCAGCACCATTTGTTGAAGA